GGCAATGGCATGGTCAGGCACAGAGCAGAACAGGACGGGCTCTGCCACACCAGGTTGACGAGCATCTTTGCCGACCTGCAGGCACAGACCCATGTGGAGCGGTACGTAGTGGCGGGTAGAGAGGAAGGCCAGCCACGGGGCGGGGCCAGGCACTTACGCTGCAGGTTCTTGTTCTCACGCTTCAGCGTTTCCAGGTGGTCCAGGGACTCCTCATAGGCGTTCTTCATCTTAAACAGCTCCGTGCTGAGAGAGCGAGACTCCTTCTGGGAGGCTTCCAGCTCAGCCTGCGTTTCCTCGTACTTCTGCTTCCACTCTGCCAGGATCTGAAGACAAACAGGACCTCAGCATGCATGTGGCAAGCAGGAGGGCACGCTCTGCCCAGGAACCCCAGGGCTGCAGCCCAAAAGACCTTGTCAAAGTTCTTCTGCTTCTTATCCAGAGCTGCGCAGGCAGCATTCGATCGCTCCACGTCAATCATCAGGTCCTCCACCTCATTCTGCAGCCTCTGCTTTGTCTTTTCCAGGGAAGCGCATTTGGCATTGACGGCTTCGACGTGTTCCTCTGCATCCTGCAGCCGCTGTGCCAGCTTCACTTCTTCCTGGAAGGTGGTAAGCACAGCTCATAATTGGGGCCTAAAATGGACATTGATTTTTCATTTTCACCACAGTACTGAGGTACTTTGCAGTACTTGGTCCCCATGAACACATTGCAGAGCTTATCCCATACAGTAGTTTTTCTTCACTTTTTCTTTCCCCACGGTTTAGCTACCCCTCTGCCCTCTGCCCTCTTCTCACACCATACATTGCCTTTTGCTTTTCAGAACCACAGCCTACATAGTACGTATTTCTCTTTCGTATAACTCCTCTCCAACCTGCTACTAGGTTTTCACCTTTCAGTATCTCAGTGGTCTCTTCAAATTTCTGTTACTGGTTTCTGCCAGCCTTCCCCACATTCCCCACATACTTGGCCTCCTCCAGCTCCTCCGTGCGCTGAATAGCGTCCGTCTCGTATTTGGTTCTCCACTGAGCCACTTCGCTGTTGGCCTTGGACAGGGCACGCTGCAGCTCACTCTTGGCTTCCTGCTCCTCCTCGTATTGTTCCCGGAGCAAGTCACAGTCATGGCGAGGCGATTGCAAGCCATGGGCCAGGGCATTCTTGGCCTGGTGATAAAAACGTTGCAATAAGTAGTAGATGTATCCTGGGAAATTTTCTCTTACTGGCACTTAGACACTGCAATATATCCCAGAAAAATAGTGATTAACTGACTGCATGAAAAAAACAAAAGCCAGAGCCTGATATACTGCAAAATGCTGGGAGACCTGCACTGACATGGCCTAGATTGCATGACCTAATGGGACTTCTTGAAATTTAATTAGATGGCCTTTTGAATCCTTAAACACTTCATCAAAAACGATGTGATTTAAAATATTTATTTAATATGTAACATGAAATATGTTCACCTTTATCTCTTCCTCTAGCTGCCGCTTCAATTCTTCAATCTGCTGGGTGAAAGCTTGTTTCCCTCTAGAAAGCTGAGAAATTAAAGCATCTTTTTCCTCCACCTGGCGTGCATATTCACCTGGAAGTTTGTAATTAAAAAAATATTTCAACATCCACAAGAGTCATTCAGGGTGTACTCCTGTTTCCAAACTAGAGATGAAATTGATGTACCAGATTCTGTCTGCAGACGAGCTCTTTGAGCATTGAGATCACTGATCATGCGCTGATTCTGCTCCTCCTTTGTTTTAAATTCACTTAGTTGGTCTTCCAGTGTGCGGCACATCTTCTCCAGGTTTGCCTAGGTGTCAATCACACATAAGAAAACAGTTAATACCTCAATTCTGCCTTAGTAACAGTAGGAAAATGTGTCTAGAGGTGCAGTCCCCAGTATCTGGGGACTATGTGCATATGCCTACAGTTCTATATATTAGACTTAGAGAGAACAGTTATATTATAACATGATAATAGTTAAAAAAGATAAGATTAAACACAAATATCACATTGTTTTCAAATTATTAATAAAGGTATTTATGTACCTTGGCTTTGGAGACAGACTCCATGTTACTGGCCAAGTCGTCAATCTCCATCTTCAGCTCACTCTTCTCCTTCTCCAGCTTCTGCTTCACTCGCTGCAGGTTGTCGATCTGCTCCCCAAGCTCAGCTGTGCTGTCCGCATGCTTCTTCCGCAGGGTGGCAGCCGTGGCTTCGTGCTGCAGCGTGGCCTCTTCAAGGTCACGGCGCATCTTCTGAAATTCTGCCTCACGCTTCTTGTTCATCTCAATCTGAGCCGCGGTAGCCCCGCCGGCTTCCTCCAGGCGCTCGCTGATCTCCTCTAGCTCCCTCGAGAGGTCGGCCCGATGCTTCTCTGCTTTTGCCCGAGAGGTTCGCTCTGCCTCAATTTCCTCCTCCAGCTCCTCAATACGAGCCTGGGGAACATCAGGGACCCTTCACACCCATGCCCTCCTCCTACCTGACCTGTGTCTGGGTGAAAGAAAAGGAACAGAGGCTTGCCTGCAGCTCCTTGATCTTCTTCTGTAATTGCATGCCCAGAAGTTGCTCATCCTCGATTTTGCTCTGGATCTGGCTGATTTCAAAGTCTTTCCTTTGGGCAAAGCAAAGCACGTTAGAGCTCAAAGGAAAAAGACAAGTGCACCAGCCCAGCACTCCGGTGCCCCACGGCCACGCTTACTTCTTCAGTTTCTCATCCAGCTGCTGCTTATCGTTTTCCAAATCCATTATACTATCATTTGCCAGCTTCAGGTCTCCTTCGAGTTTCCTCTTAGCTCGCTCAAGGTCCATGCGCAGCTTCTTCTCTTGCTCCAGGGACCCTTCCAGCTACAAAGAGCAAGACCATCAGTGCTCTACCAGCCGGGTCTAACTCCATACCTGCCCTGGTCTTGCTGTATGCCCGTGTGCTTACATCGTCCACTTGCTGCTCCAGCTTGGTCTTGGCTTTGGTCAGCGTATTGACTTTGTCCTCTTCTGCCTGCAGGTCATCCAGGGTCTGCTGATGGGCCTCCTGGAGGGCTTTCTTCTCTTTTGTCAGCTTCACAATTGTCTCATCCAGGGCTGCCATCTCCTCTGTGAGGTTTTTCACCTTTGGGAAGAAAGGAGCAAGTGCAGATAAAAAAAGTTGCTTAAAACTTTATACCCTACAGCAAAACAGAAGTCTTTTCTGTGAGAGTGACATCTTCTGCCTCATACCTTGTTTTCAGTGGCATGCTTTTCCTTCTCCACTTTGGCCAATGTTAACTCGAGGTCGTCAATATCTTTCTTCAGCTCTGAACATTCATCCTCCAGTTTTCTCTTCTTGGCTGTCAGCTCGGCATTAATTTCCTCCTCATCCTCAGCCCTTTCAGTCACCTCTTTAACTTTAGCTTCCAGCTGGATTTTGGTTTTGATGAGCTGGTCACATCTTTCCTCAGCATCAGCCAAAGCATCAGCTTCCTGGTGGAAAATACCATTTTTAGGGGTATGGTTTTTGAGGGACTGTTGAGAAGCTTACCTTCGTAATTTAGAGTCCTGAATAGCCATTTTGTAGTTAAAAACTTGATTTATGTTCCAACAGAAGGAAATATAATATAGAACTGATTTTATATTGTTGGTTTTGAAAGAGGCAGTTTTTAAAGCTAAAACCAAATAAAATTTTTTTTAATCTACATGAAGGCCCAAGTATTTACATATTTGTGCAAGGTATAGTATCCAATATTATCCCATGATATCAAACATTAGAACAAAGTACATAAATTTGTGTTTAATCATAGGAATATCTCCCACATTCATGAAGTGCCAAGTGATAGCATATGCCAAGATACATATAAATACCAAAGTCACAGTTATGCTCACATCATTCCTGTATTTCTCTTTTTTAACACTACTGTCTATTTGGAGCAACTGTTTCTGATTTAGATTTTTATCACCACAGCCAAAAAATACTCAGCATCTAGTAGCTCTGTCTTTTCTCTGTGAGATCCTCAACAGTTCAGAAGAAAAGGAGTTACTGGAAAATTTGTCACGAGGTTTTTTTTGCAACAGATGCCTTGTGATATTTGTTACATTTTGTCTCAAGTTTCAGTCTAGCAGAAATATATGAAAGAAACATGATAATTTTAGCAGTGAGTGGTTTTTTTCATCTTTTTACAGTTCAAGATTCTTTAAAACAGGGGCGTGTTCCAACATCTGCTGGAAAAGTAGCACAGCAGGCGGTAGGCAATCCAGGAGACTCCTGGAGTGCATGGAGGATAACTTCCTAAGTCAGGTAACAGACAGCCCTACTAGAGCAGATGCCATACTGGACCTGTTGGTCACCAGTGCAAGGAACCTAATTGGTGAGATCAAGACTGGAGGCAGCCTGGGCTGCAGTGATCATACACTGGTGGAGTTTGCAGTCCTGAGGGATATGGAGCAGGCAAAGAGTGAAGTCAGGAGCCTGAAGTTTAGGAAAGCAAACTTCCAGCTCTTCAAGGAGTTAGTCAGTAGGACCCCCTGGGAAACTGCCCTCAGGGGTAAGGGAGCAGAAGAGAGCTGGCAGATCTTTAAGGACGCTTTCCATAGACCACAAGAGCTCTTGATCCCCAGGTGTAAGAAATAGGAAAGGAAGGCAAGAGACCAGCATGGCTGAGTGGAGACCTGCTGGGCAAACTAAAGGGCAAGAAGGAACTGCACAGGCAGGGGAAGCAGGGACAGGGATCCTGGGATGAGTACAGGGACGCTGCCCAGTTGTGGACGGGTGGGGTCAGGAAGGCCAAGGCGTGGCTGGAGGTGAACTTGGCAAGCGATGCAAAGAATAATCAGATGGGCTTCTACAGGTGTGTCAGCCAGAAAAGGAAGGTCAGAGAAAGCGAACCCGCCTTGCTGAGCAAGACTGGCAGGTTGTTAGCAACAGATGAGCAGAAGGCTGAGGTACCCAATGGCTTGTTTGCTGCAGTCTTCACTTGAGGGGATGGACTGCAAGATGGGGACTGGAGGAGCAAAGTCCCTCCCACTGTAAGAGAAGATCAGGTTTCAGACCACCTGAGTAAACTGAACATGCACAAGTCTGTGGGACCTGACAAAATGCATCATAGACTCCTGAGGGAATTGGCTGATGTAGCTGCTAAGGCATTGTCCATGATACGTGAAAAGTCCTGGCAGTCAGGTGAAGTCCCTGCAGACTGGAAAAAGGGAAACATTGCACCCATTTTTAAAAACAGTAGCAAGGAGGACCCTGGGAAATACTGATCTGTCAGCCTCACCTCTGTGCCTGGAACAGATCCTCCTAGGAGCTGTGCTAAGGCACATGGAGGACAGGGAGGCAATTTGAGACAGCCAGCATGGCTTCACCAAGGGCAAGTCCTGCCTGA